AGATCACAGTAGTAAGTGAAGGTGTGGATGAGGCAAGTTTCTGCCAGTTTACCCAACAACCCTTTCAATTAGCAGTAATTGGTTTTGCATACGAGTGTTAACGGCGCAGCCAAACCATTGGGGACCAATACAAATACGGTTACACCCGGCAGTTTGCAGGAAAACTAGGCACGGATCTGACCTGACTTTGATAAAAATGCAGTGCTCAGCTCCATGTAATGATGTCCTGTGCTGATGGTTTCTCAGCAACAGACTGTTAATAGGTCGAATACAGAGCTACAGCTACTGTTGTAGCGTTTGTGGAAACGAAAAAAGCATCTGCCTGTTAGCAAGACGGCGCAAAAGCTGCCTAGCTGAATATCAAGAATGTTGATGAAGAGATGGCACAAAGACGAAGAAAAAGACCATTGCATTTTGCCACACAACCATACTTTTGCTAAAATTACTGAATAAGCTGTTGACCGCACATCTTGAGTTCTGGCTCTGTTTAAATGCTGAAATAAAGGCCAGTTTTTCCTACATATAGACGTCTGTTATAGCATACTGCAAAGTTTCGGGCAGTAGGAGCAAGTCGGGATGTTCTCAGACCTGAAATGCTGAGAAATGGTAGGAAAAGACTGAACCCTACATCTAAGTTGTGCCCTCTAAGGAACATCTGGTTTGAATGTAGGTTTTTCTTTAGTAGATTTAAAAAAAATAATCCACTCTGTGCATTAAATATCGCCCACTCTCCGAGCCTCTACTTACCTTAAGCCTTGACCTGCCTTGTGGCGAATGATGTTTTTAAATCACTTGCATAAGGTTTGGAAACATGTTCAGGCTAAAGTTGTGGTCTCCATTTGCTTTACAAAGACATGGAAGATATTTTCAGAGACGCAGTGAGGACATGCACAGTGTAAAAGCTTTAAGCCAGTGGCTCATAAAACATTTAAGTCCCCGATGAAACAGAAACACAGGTCCCATTTATAGATTGCTATATTTCTTTTTAGATACTCCAGGAAAAAAAAACATGTCACAGGGGTTGGACGTGTCCACATGTGTGTACTGAATACATGTCTCGACTGGTGTCTCTTGGCTGTGGTCCATTACTTGTTTACATCATTACAAATAAACCAATCAACGCAGATTGGGAGTCATATGAAACCAGAGGTGACTGAACCGAACCCCTGGCGAGTGTCATCCACAGTGAGTGCTACGTGGACCTGCAGGGGAGGGTTTATATATTTAGGAGACTAACGGGAAGCCGTGCTGTGCTTGTTTGTCTTCTCAGTCGTTGCAAAGAGCTCCAAAGGTAATGATGATTATGTGATCGGCTAGTCGTGACTGGAACTGAACCTCATTTCGGGAATAATGAGAAATGTTTAGAAATTGGCAAAGATAAAGAGGTGTTTTGTATTGTAAAACGACATGGAGAGTGAGTGGGAGGTAGTTATATGTTAAAATGCAAGGGATAGAAACTGAGAGG